TCGGCGGGGGCAGCGCTCCGGGGGCCCGGCCACCGCCACAAAAGGGCTCTGCGGTCCCACCAAACTGAAAGGCAGCCGAAGGAGGGACTTGCACCGTGGACGCCGGGTGGGCAGGGAGAGGAGGGGAGGGGAGGTGAGGAAGGGCGGTGAAGGGGAGCCTGCGGGACGCTTGCCCCCTCCCCGCCGACGCTGCGGTCTCGTTGGCAGGTCCCCAGTGCCCCAGCGCACAGCCTTGCAGTGTCTGTCTGCCCCCAGCTTGCTCAGCAAGGACAGATTGCTGTCGGTCTTGACTGTGCCAAGAGTCTGACATTAAACAACACAAAGAAGTGAATATTGCCCCTGTCTGAAGTGCGTGTTGATTTTTACCCATTGCTTTCGTTCATTGCTTCTCCCAGCTGTGATGTGCAAAGTTATTTCTTGGTGAATGAAGGAAGGTTTGTGAACGGTTAAAAGAAGTGACAGGAGGTGTATGGGATACTGRCATGAAGCTACCGATGCAAGGAGAGAAGTGTGCTTGGATTCTGACCTCAGTCGGACTCATCAAGTCACTTGACGATTTCACTGTCAAACCAGGGGTGTCACGTCCTCCCCCAAGATGGGGATATAACGCTGCCCTTATCGTGACAGTTGTCTCAGTTTCTGGAGTAATCCATATGTTGCCTCCTGGTCAGGTTTTAAAATTAATTTTTGTTTTACAATGTATGTCAGAAGCAATCACTCCCCTGSCACCCACCCTGTCTTTTCCTAGCAGCCTTTTCGCTGGGGGACATCTGCGAACAGCAGTGACCAAGTGCCTCTGCAGTGCCCTGCAGGGAGGCAGAGCACACACGCTGAGGTCCAGGAGCTCTCTGTGCCTTGGGGGAGCTGGGGAGGATAAATGCCATTATGGGATATCTTCTCCAAGTGACAGCAGTTTAATTACAAGCTGGATGAGGCTGAAATGGTTTATACCACTGACAGCACTTTAGGACACCATATTTTCAGCCTTTGCCAGACCTTACATGCTGTTTTATAAAGGACAAAGAACCTGCGATCAGTGCAGCTGTTCCCTCTGTGCAGAGTCTCTTTGCCAGTCTTGCTCTGCTTAAAGGGCACCTGTGGATAGGACACACAAGGACATCTCTATTGTATTCTGTCCTGTGCAAGAGGTGTCCATTAGAAATCTGTCTCCTGCAGAAAGAGAGGAGGCAGTGCAGAATCTTCGCCTGACTCCTTGTGAACTTGGGGCTGGTCTTGCCCTTCAGAAATTGCAGGAGTGATTCAGGGAGTGCRTTTGTGCTTTATAATTGAGGAGAACTTTCAGCACAGTCATTGTGTGTCTGCACCTTTCCTAAGCAGAAATACCTGCTTCGTCTTGTAAATGCTATAAATCCCATAGGAAGCCCTGCTTATGCATTGGCTTCAGGACTATTCCTCGTGGCAGACAGAGAATTTGCCTTGGAGTTGAAGCTGTGGGGCTGAGTACCCCTCTTTGATGTTACTTGATTTTCAGATGCCAGCTAGAGTGAATAGCTTTGAAATTTTTACCAAGACAAAACTCCCCTTTGCCTTGAAGAGGACATCCAGCCTTGGGCATGAATTCACAATTGCTTGCAGTAAAAAGAGCTTGTTCTTGTTACTGTCAGGTTGGTCTGGTTGGTTGGTTTTCAGATTGAGCCAAATGGTTATTAAAATGGATGGCACTCCTGTTCTGGCAAGCTGTCACTTCACAGCATTCCCAGTTCTCTCACGAGCATGCTTTCCCAGCCCGCCTCCCYGGCTCCAGGGGCAGAAGATAAGCCAGAAGAAAACATTCTCTCTAGCCAAGTGTTTGTCTGAAGTGTCCCAGCTACTCTGGAATGATTAGCATCTTTTCTCCCTATGCCTTTTCTGCATTCACATGTTCCCATTGCATCTGAAATTGAATGATATAGTATTTTCAAATAACGGAAGTCACATATGGCATCAGATTATTGCGCTGGGAGTGCCACCCTTCACTGTCTGYATGCATGTGATAATTGAGGTGTCACGGTTCAAATAACAAGGCAGGACATAAGATGCACTTCAACTCTCAAAGATGGAAAAGGACCAGCCATACACAGCCYTCCACCAACCCCAAATACTGTATTTTMATTTATAAAATCAAGYGTCACTCTGTTAGAATCACAAGTTAGTGACTCCACAGGTACTGCTGTAGTGTTTGAGTGTACTGACAGTCTGCCAAGGAAGTGGGAAAACCATATGAAGAAATACACAATCAAGTGGCTTGGGTAAGTCAGGGCTGTGGCATTAGGCCCCCTCATGGTCAGGAAGAAGCAGCAGACAGGTAAGGAGAATTTAGCCTGGCTTTGCATGTAGTGTGGATGTTGGTTTTTTCCCAGGTTGACTGTTCACCTCTGTTGCAATTAGGGTACCAGGCTAAATGGGGTATCTGCCTTGTTCGATTGCAAATGCCACAGCTGTTTCCAGGGTGTTTAGGTACTGCCTGCAGCCACTATGAAAGTGAGGGTCAGGAACAGCAGGAGTCCACCCACCCTCGCTGCCACAGCGATTTTTGTTTGGGACAGAYTATATCTTCCTCCTTCCACCATGGAGGAACATTTGCCTTAGTGGCAGCACACTGACACTGCTGAATTATTTGGGGGGAGAAATCAGAACTTCAGCTAGAATTTAACTGGCCTTTAAGGGATACACAGGATTTYCTAAGTTGTGCAGCTCTTGTGGATGCCCTGAACAAGCAGTGACCCAGACAAACCCTGTCTTCTCTGTACAGTGTGCCACGCAGAGGGAGTGCGTAAGTGCCGGGCAGGGACTGCCAAGGCAAATCCTACCTTTGCCAGTGAGTAGGAAAGAGCTGGTTATTGCCAGTGGCTGCAAAGGTACCTTCTGTRCCTTTTGCCCTGTAGCCCTCGGCACTCCCTGCAGAGCACTATTGTACTTGTTCAGCCAGGTTGCAGGGCCCAGTTACTCAGGGCAGGTAACTCTCACAGATACCTTCTTACTAGAACATAGAGTTGACCAAAACAAAAGGCTGCTGGGCACCATGCAGCTTGTGGKTAGTCACCTGAAAGAGCGTATCTGTTTCAACAATAAGTAAGACTAGCACCACCAACAAAATGTCATTTGTTTTTCCTAGGATAAAAGACAAAAGATGTGCATGTCACTCTTGCAAAAATATTCTGTGGTCCTTGGTTTCACAGATCAAGGTCTGGATTATACCCTTAGCCATCGAAGAGGTTATCTTCACAGTGTTTATGAACTTATTTTAGTCYGTAAGCATGGCCTAGTCAAGAAAATACCCGTGTAAAATGGGAGTATGGCATGTTGAGTCATCTTTTCTTGTGGCATCCATCTGAATTGCTGGTCAGTTTACAAGTTAAAAACAACATCTTTCTAAGTGTCATTGCTACAACTTCACACTGGAAATAATGTGAATATTAAGTTTGTTCTTCATTTTGCATCCCCTCTGGATGACCAATCCTGCAAGCGGGAATGACCAGCACATTGCAGCGGGGCTGTGGGAGGCCAAGCCTGCTCCCCTTCTCCAGCTCCATAGTTCTGGAGGTTTCCTGTTTGCATACCTAATCTGACACTTCTGCAGGGGCAGTTTGAATAAGAATGTATCACTCCTTAAAGCCAGTGTTCTAAGCCACAATGTAAGGAGTTGGAGTAAAGTACATCTCCCCTTCCCCTTGAAATCATGCTTGCATGGAGAGTCTTCTGTGAATTCTGACAGATGCAAGATTGGGTTCTATGTCTGTTTTGGGACTCTGTCCAGGCATATTCACAGAATCTTACCTAGATGTTTTTCTCTTTTCTGTCCTTTTGATTTTTGCCTAGTACAGGTTTTGGTTGGCTGTSCAAGATCTCAAGAAACAACCTTTACAGGATGTGACCACCAGAGTGGAAGAAATCTGGCAAGAGTTCCTAGCTCCTGGGGCCCAAAGTGCTATCAACCTGGATTCCCACAGCTATGAGAAAACMAGCCAAAATGTCAAAGACCCAGGGAGATATACATATGAAGATGCACAGGTTAGTTTTTGATTTTATGGAACTGCTGCTAATGAAACTCAGTTTTAAAGTGATATTCCACTATCACATTGTCACTGCTCCCTGCAAGAAAAAGGAGATGAACAGTTTGAAGTGACTTTGAGAATATCTATTCAAGCTGGGTAAGTGATATTTTTGTTGAATCTATCTGTTATAACGAGCTAATGCTCCTCTGGGAACAAATGTTCCAAAATCTACAAGTCTGCAAGGTGCTGYAAGCTGGAACCATGTCTCAGAGAAAGCACAGATGAAAGAGTGCTGTGCAGTTCGGTTTGTCTTTCTGCACTACCTGTCACCAAAGTCTGGCATATTTACAGAATGGCCGATTCATATCAAAATCCTGGCTARTACGCTTTTTCTATAATTTATTTATTTATAGCTAATTATATCCACCGCCAGACTCCAAATGCAGCAGCACCCTCCAACACAGCTAGAAATTTGTCCACCAGACAATCCCTTAGAGTAATGATAGGACAGTAGGCAATGCAGTGAGCTTAATCCTTCCCTCCTAAGGTTCCAGATTTATCAGGGAAGTTTTACAGATAAACTGTACACAGAAAATGCCTTGAGGAAAATAGATAATTAGAGAAAAACTGTTACAAGCAAGGATAAAGCTGCATAACCTTCTGGAAAGTGAAAATAYAATTTTTTAATTATTACAAAAGAAAAAGGAAGAAGGGATCATTTGGCAAATATTACTAGGGACACAATTAAAAGATAGCATCCTCGTAATCTCTTTTATCAAAAGATGTTGTAAAACCAACAGCAAGTGAAAAAAAAATTCCAGGTTTTGGTTTTTGTTTTTTTTTTAAATTGGCATTCAAAGGCAATTCTTCAAAATACTCCACTAACAAAATATTTTCACCTCGGGGGAGATGTTTTGGAYCACTTATACAAGGTTAGGCAGTGAATTTTTCAAACCTGCTTCAGATACTGTATTTTCCTGAATGCAGTCTTGCTCCTTGGGGCCAGCATAGAAGGATTGTACRCAAAGTTTCAAGGCAGTCCCCTCTGAATATCAGACAACTAAAATGCCCTTTTTAAAGCTGAGAAATACAGGAGTATGAAGACATTCTGGCTAAGATGTATTCTTTGCTTGGCAGTTATAGTGAAAAAGAATTTCTTGCATCACCTGAAAAAAATGATGGCAAAATGCAGGCTAAAGCAGATAGGTGAATAATGGGGAAATTGATTAAATTGATAAGTAGAAGTATTAAGAATAAGATGAATTTTAGATGATGAGTATTTAATTAGGAGAAGACATGGAGGGTTTAACGTTGAACTGATCAGTTCACAATGTAATTGCCATTCAAATGGGAGTCGATAAAATCAAACTTGAGCCCTGGCAATTAGACTGCAATTTTAGCTCCKTGGGTTAATTTTATTTCAGAGGATTTTTGCACTGACAGATGCCCTCAACTCATCTGTGTGGTTCACAGACACAGAAATATAAGGCAAAGGTGGACCTTCAGGGTCAGCTATGGCTGTCTCAGAGATGGAATCTATGCCAAGAGAGGATAGCACAATGTGGAAGGTGAACCCACTTACCTTCTTGTGCAGTGGGCTTCTGGTAGCTCTCCAGAGGCCAAGCAAGCTGTTTGTGACTGCCTGACTRGATAGCTGAGAAGGCCATCTAACAAAAGTACAAAAAAGCAGGACACTGCTGAAGGGTGTAGTGCCCTGGTAGAGCTGGGCATCTTTTGTTGTCTTTTACTGGCTCATCCTGGAGAAGGACATATTTGTTTGCCCATCCACTTCATGGGAGCCAATGCAGATCACTCCAGGTGCCCTAAATCTCCCAGGTACTGCCCTGGTGTCCTTTGCAGGTCGGCCCTGGCACCACAGAGGTTCTTGTCCACGAATCTCCAGCAGCTGCCTCATCTCAGCACCCTGTCACCAGGAGCCCATGGGAGCTCCTACAYATCCCACATTTCTAGGGACTCAATGAGACACAACCAGTCCAARCACCCTCTGTGGGAGGGAAAATATGAGTGTTGTCCTGTCTTGTTGCTTTAGCAYGAAGAGGAAAACAACTGAAATGTCCTTGTGAGAAAAAAACAAGAAAAAAATACAGTTTACTCAGCAGCACATTCTTCAAATGCCTGCACCTCTGAGATACTAAGAGAAAGGAAAAGTGTTGGCTGAACTGAGAAAATTAATTAGATACACCTGTGGTGGAAGAATAGGAGAAGGTGATGTGGCAGTCTAGTCATGACTTGAGAGACCCACAAAATGCCAATTCTGTATAAAAAGCATTGGAAATGGACACATTGCTGTACTTGGGAAAGGGCAARGTGTAGCAGAGCACATTCAGGCCAGCAAATGCTTTAAAATAGGAAGTAGAAAGCAAAGCATCATTTGTTATYGGCTGCTTCTTAGCACAACCTTGGCTCCCAGCCCCAAAGAGCTCTCCCAGATGCTGCTCAACCATCTGGTAAGGCAACTAGCCTAGATGAAAACAGAGAGGAAAGGGGGTTCTTGGCAAACCTCTTTGTCCCCAGGCCAGTCACAGTCTGGAAGTAGATGGTTCCCCAAAAAAAGGAGTCTTCCTCTAAAGGAGACCTCAAAGGGCCCCTAATCCAAACCTGAATTAAGGTGCGCATTTATTATTTCAGGCAGACCTCTCTCTGAGATGGATTCCTGTACCACAGAAGCAAATGTTTTGCCATAYTCCCCCATCTCATCTTGAGATACTTGCCATGCTGTGTGTTCCTCAGTGCTGCTGCACTCTGCAATCCTGCACTGCTGGGCTTGTACAGAGCCATCCCTCTTGCTGTAGCTCCCGCAGGTGCCATCACCCACCCCATGCACAGCTCAATCCATGCCAGCACATTTCAGCTCTGAGCAGAGTGTGCTGTGCTGGCTCAGCCTGCGCTCCCCTCCCCAGATGTCCATTTGTTGGCATCCCCATCCTTGAGCAGCCCAGTGCTGCTCTTAGCTCTGTCCTCATTGCCAGCTCTGCCGGCTATCTTTGTCTGCAGCACCTTCTGTCGTTTTAGTGCTTGGCCCCTCCAGAGGGGAGCCTACCAATTTGGCTGATTATTTTCTGCTCTTAAACAACTGTCYTCTGAGTAAAATATTATGATTATCAAACCATTTTCACTGGGGAGTAAAGCAGCTTTTAATACAAGGGGCATCRTCAGGAAAGGTCAGTTCAATTAAACAGTGAAGTACTTAGCAGGATGTAAGCTCCCACAGGAGTTATCAGCATCATTGAACAACCAATGTGGGGCCYTGCAATATGAAGCAGGCACCACCAGCTCTGGAAAGTAAATAGGTTTGGGTGCATCTGAATGGCATCTTTTGRCTAATGAAGCTGCTGACAGCCAAAGTAATTCATCTTTACATGGGAGCACAGAGCTGTGAGTGTGACAATTACGATTTATCTGTACAACATGTTATTATTTTTTAACCATTCTCCCCTTACCCCCATCAAGCATCTCCTTGCCTTCTCTGAAATGTCTTTCTGCCTTCAGAAAGTCTTTAATCCTTTTCTCAGTCCCTTGGTGTTGTGAGCTAGTGTCACACGGATGTATAGTGTTTCCTCATAGTAATGTTTGTAGGGACATTTAGTCTACATTCACTGGTAGGCTTCAGAGCCAAGTGTACTAGAGTACAGTAAGCCACAGAGTTGTYGTTGGAATTCCTTTCCTGTTTTCTTTGTTTATTCTTTAATAAATAAAATAGAGTTTTAGATTGRCATTCCTTTAACTGAACTAACCAGCTGTTGTTTCTATGAAGATGATTCAGGGAAATTCAGTTCTAATCCAGGATCAGTTAGGGATTTTAACTGTTCTTTGCAGATATTTGGCTGATTCCAGGGCAGATTTAGATGGTAATGCCAAACTACAGGCAGCTCAAACCAGAAATGTACCTGTCCCAGATATGAAACATAGAATAATTTAGGATTGAAGCCACCTTTAAAGTTCATCTAGTCCAGCCCTCCTGCAATGAGCAGGGTACATCTTGAACTAGATCAGGTTTCTCAGAACCCTGTCCAACCTGACCTTGAATGTTTCTAGGGATGGGACATCCACCACCTCTGGGCAACCTGGGCCAGGCTTTCACTATCTTCTTTGTAAAAAATTTCTTCCTTTAATCTAGTTTTGAGATTAAGCCAAATTCATGCTCTCAGCTGCATGTTGTTTCAGTTTGTTCTGGACTGTGATAAAGATACAAGTCCTTGCAGGGTTCATCAGTGGTCAGTTGGCATTCTGGTTGTATCAGGAAGCTCAAGATGTTGACAGAACTTGACAGGATCCTGTTGAATTCAAAACTAAACTCCAAAATTTAAGCAAGAATCTCTTGGAAATGAAACATMATTTTTTACCAAGAAGGGAAAATGACAGGTGACTTCTCCTGACTTTGTGTTTTCAAGTATGCCCAGGTGTGGAAGAACTGATGTCTGTTCAGTGAGCATACAGAACTCCTTTTGTGAGTCTAGAGCAAAATAACAGCGTGGGAGGAAAATGTGAAAAGAATAATTTCTTGTGTGTCTGTATCATCTTTCATGTAATAACTTGAAGAACTTTATTCCTATTTCCTTAAAGTTTTGCCCTATTTTCTGAAAGTTTTGCCCAGTTACATGCATGCCTGTAAGGGATGATGACTAAGGATGGAGAACAGGGTAACAGCAGAACAGCTCGGGTTGGCAGTGCAGGCAGCCAGCAAGGGGACATGAGGCAGACCGAGGTGCTCTGACTTCAAGAGGGGATCAGGTCCACCTGAGCCAGTGTGGCTCAGAGAACTTGAGCCTGCACTATGGGGAATTGAAAGCACTGCTGTACTGCATCAGTAATTATACATKAATGGTGTGCCCAGGGCTCCTGGAGGCTTTTGACAGCCTGCACCTTCCTGTGGAGGTTAAGGACTGCACAAAGACTTGACCTTTATTCCCTTTTCCCCCTTTGGCTCTGATTCTGTGGGACTGGAGGAGAAAATCCTACCTTACACTGCACTCTGGTTGTCTTCCTTGTATTTGG